CCGTTTGGATTCGGATGCCCAGGGAAGCTTGATCCATAACACTAGAGAGCACAACGCAATTCATCGCGGTATGACACATCTCGTTTCAGCACGGCACAGCACAGCAGAACCTTAAATAGGCACGGTACACTTGCAATTGCCTGTCGCCCAGTCCTGTGTCCTGAAGACGTGGCCCTGCCTCGCGCCTCTGAATTCCTTTCCGGGTTCGTGGGTCGATCGTGCTTCACGACGTGAGCACGTCTGGGACGCCAACGTCCAGCGTCCAACGACCGCACAGGACAGCGGCCCCGAGGCGGCCGGGCCGGCCCCCGGGGCGGCGCCGCGGTCGCCGAGCCCAGGCGCGCGGCGCGCCGTCGCGCGGCAGGCCGTGGAGGAGGGCGGCCCCGCTGCTGAGCAGTCTGCCGCCGTCGGAGGGTCTCATTCGGATGCTACTCCTGGGAGGTTAATTTCTGACTTTGCCCTTGTCCGAAATCCCGCTTAATCCGGCATAATCCCGCTTAATCCCGCTTAATCCGGTTTAATCCCGCTTAATCCCGCTCAATCCGGCTTTTTCCCGCTTGATCCGAGGCCCACTCTGGCGTAACAGCCCCCCAATGGGGCTTAATCCTCCTTAATCCTTCCGACGAAAACCTCCCAGTAGTTGCCTCCTAAGCCTCATCGATGGAAGAAACACGCTGACCATGGCCAAGGTTTCGCAGGATCTCGTCGGCGCCGATCTTTGTCATGGTCCATGCCGGCCGTGCCAGACTCGCGAGGATGATCCACGAACTGACGGTGACCAAGATGGGCGGTGACCAGGATCGGCACCGACGTTTCCGCGTTCGGTCTCGGTCACGGTCACTGATTTCGTTCCCTCCATTCAGGGAGGGGAAAAACACAGACACACATCATCGTCGGTTCCCAGGAGGATATGGAAAATATGGGGAGTGGGAGGGAAGACGAGAGTCCAGAAAATGCAGGATAGCATGGGGAATCCTGGGATTGTGTCTACTTGTGTGTGTGTGTGTGTGTCCTGGGCCCCTTCACATTCGAGGTTCGAGTATCGAGGTTTTCGGACGACTCGACCCTGCACCGCGCAGTCCCCCTCCCCTCCCGGCCCCCGCCCGCCGCTCTTCTCCGCCCTTTCTCTCCTCCCCTCCCGTCGGCTGGGGAGCTGCGGCCCGCGGGTGGCCGAGGCGTGCCAGGCGTTGGCTTCTGAGCAGCCTCGCCCCGCCCAACAAAAACTTAGCCTGGCCCCCCCCCCCCCTCCCGCCCCCGCCCCCCCGACCCCGCGGAATCAGCAAGGGGGCCACGCGCGGCGGGCCCACGAGCGAAGCCACTGCGACGGGACCGTGCTTCCGCGGCCACGACCTCTCGTAGATTCTCGCGGCGTCCGCTCTCCCAGTACTGGGGGACAGGTTTACCAACTGAAACAAAACCCTGGGCCTCAGCCCTTTCCAGAAAATTACGCCGCGTGGACCCCCCCCAGGGCCAGGATCCCTTCGTAAATTTCGCTGCGTCCGCGCCCCCCCGGCCAGGATCCCTCGTTAATTTCGTTGCGTCCGCGCCCCCCAGGCCAGGATCCCTCGTTAATTTCGTTGCGTCCGCGCCCCCAGGGCCAGGATCCCTTCGTAAATTTCGCTGCGTCCGCGCTGCCCGGGCCAGGATGCCTCGTACATTTCGCTGCGTCCGCGCTGCCCGAGGGCCAGGATCCCCCGTAGCCTGCGCTGCGTCCGCGCTCCCACCGTGGCCGCAGGCGGCGCGCGAGGCGGCGGGCCCCGGGGGGGCTGCTGGCACTGTTCTCCGCCAGTGCGGCTGGAACTGTCCTGCTCGGAGAACGTTTCTTCCCGGAAAGGGCGCGGGCCCAGGATTCTCTTTCACAGGGGGCGGCACAGAGGGGGGTGATGACTAGGGAGGGTGGATATCATGGCGTGGGCCATGATATTTCCCTACATTCCATGGCGTCTCTTCTTATTTCATTACGTCCCTGGCTCCCCCCCCTGGGCCGCGCACATGTCGCCGGCCATGATTGGCGCCCCCCCTCTTGCACGCCCCCTTATTGGCCGCCCCCGACTGTAGGGGGCCACGTGCGAACCCTACCCCTACCCCCCACGATTTCTGAGGGGGAGGGTGGGGTTCACTCTGTCCAGGAGCTCCAGAGCGAAGTGAACCCCGCCCTCCCCCTCAGAAATCGTGGGAGGTAGGGGTAGGGCTCGCACGTGGCCCCCTATTTTAGATGTTTGCCCCCGGTTTCGACGGCTGTAGGGCTGGCGAACTTGTTTGCGATGAATGACGAGGTCGCCCAGGGCAGGCGAACTCATTTTTGAGCATGTCTCGAGCGAGATGCTTGTTTTCAAGAATTTGTTGAGGATGTCTCGAGCGAAGCGCTTGTTTTGTATTACATTTTGTCCTCTCCTGGGGGCCAGAATTCAGAGGATCTCTCAAGTGATATGCTTGTTTTCACGTGCCCAGGTCTTGAGGATGTCTCGAGCGAGACGCTTGGTTTCACGCGTCTAGGAGGCCATCTCGGGCTATCTAAAACCCTCATAGGGCTATCTTGGGCCCTCTTGGACGCTCTAATCCCTCGCGGGGGAGCCCGTCCAGACCCAGGGAGTGGGGGGGAGGTAAACCTCCCGAGCAGGGAAAGGAAGGAGGCTGAAAACGGAAACGCTCTAGACCGCCTGCGCCCAGAGGGCTGGTGGGATTCAGTTCGGTCAGGATTCGGATGCCTAGGGTGACTTGGTCCACAACATTATAGAGCACAACGCAAGTCATCGCGGCATGAAGCATTTCACGCAGCACAGCACATTACAGACCTTTTCCTGACGCACCAGGGTGGGACGAACATGAACGAATGTGGGTTTCTAGCGCCCCAAAGCGGGGCACGCGTGACAAAACTTGTGTTCAAAGCGTCCCAGATCAGGGCAAGCGTGAAAACACTTGTATTCCTAACGCCCCAAAGCGGGACAAACGTGAAAACGCATGGGCTCTTCAGGCCCCAGAGCGGGACAAACGTGAAACCGAGTGGGTTCACTACGCCCCAGAACGAGACAAAAGTGAAGACGCATTGGTTCCTGACGCTCCAAGGCGGGACAAACGTCAAAACACATGGGGTCCTCACGTCCCACAGCGGGACGGTGTATGCCCCCACCCCCTTTCGCTGCGTTCCCTGGCTCGTCCTCTGTTGCTTTGCCTGGCTTCTCCCCTGGTGCTCTCCCTCCCCGTTCCGTGGCGCGTTCTTTGCCGCGTCTTCTGACGCGTCCTTTGGCGCATCCCCTACTGCCCTGCGCCCCGTGTCGTCTCGTCCCGCTTCGGAACTGAATCGGATCTTGAGCTCGAGCCGACTGAACGCCCCACACGCTTCGACTGCAACCAGCTCTGGACCAGCTATTCGTTCAGGCAGCTCGGGCCTAAGATCCAGATCAGTTCGGTCAGGATTTTGATGCCTAGGTCGACTCGATCCACAACATTATAGAGCACAACGCAAGTCATCGTGGCATGATACGTGTGATTTCAGCACGGCACAGCGCAGTACAATCTTTGGCACGGTACATCACGATCGATACCGCCGGCGTTGCAGTTGCCTGTCGCCCAATCAGGGGTCTTGAAAAGGTAGCCATGTCTCGCTCTTCTAAATTCCTTTCCGGGTTCGTGGATCGATCCATGTTGGCTTTGTTGCTTGTACCGTGAGGGGAAAGCGACGCGACTCTGCTCCAATCCTCCCTCCCTGCATTCGCTCCCTCCCTTTGGACAGACATCGATTGGGGTGCCAGGAAGAAAAGGGCAGGAGCCCCGCCATCAGAGAATATTCTTTCCCGCGCTGCAGGGGTGCCCTGATCCGGAGGACGACGATTATCCACGTGCACCGGTCCTGGTCAGGCGCACTCTGTGCCGAGGATTGGTAGTTGCACCCCTGGGGCGCGACCATGAGGGCGTATATCTAGGCCTCCCAGATGGGGTCCGAGTAGATGGGGTCAGTGGATCGCGCCGCATCGCCGATGCATCGCCAATGCGGCTCGATGTGGAGCCCGATTAGCTTCACGTCGACGTCGCCGATGCATCGCCCACGTCGACGATGCATCGCCAGTGCATCGCCGATGCATCGCCGATGCATCGCCGATGCATCGCCGATGCATCGCCGATTCATCGCCGATGTATCGGTGATGCGGCTCGATCCTCCGACCCCATCTACTCCGACCCCATCCAGGAGGCCTCTAGCAGTATCGCCGATCCTGGGCGTGAGGCTCGCCTAGCCAGCACTGATGCATCCCGGAGCCATCCAGAGAGCCCCCGAGGCGGGCGGAAATGCCCAGAGTCGGGTGTTGCTAGACGCGCCCCTGGCCCAAGGTGCCCGCAGGATTTCCAGGGAGGCTCCAGCGGCCTCCAGAGTGCCCCTCACGAGGCCCAGGGGGCCCCAGGGGGGCTCCAAGATGGAGCGAAGAGCTGGAGGCACCCTGGGCCAGCCCCCGACAGAGGCCTCCGCCAGAGACCCAGAGAGCGTACTCCAGTCTTCTTCCCGGGCCCGGGGCAGGCCTGGTGCGTGTCGGTGCACGTGGACAGTCGGCGCGCCCCTCCCGGCGGACTTCTGCGGCGGGCCACTCCAGTAGCTCAATATTCCCGAGTTCCTGTCCTCTCGGAGGAGTTGCCTGCATTTACGCGACGGCGTGCACTAGAGGCTGAGGCCGACGCGAGCAATTTTTTGTCAAGCATGTACAGTCGCCGAGACGCGTGCTCCGCATGCTTCGAAGTACGTTCTGAGCCACTGCGCTCTTCGAGCAGCCTCCTACCACGTCGTGGAGAAGGGGCGCCCTGTTCTTCAACGATCGATGGGCGCTCTTGCTCCTCGTGGGGCCTGAGCCTGGGCGTGAGCAGGCGTGTTGGCAATCACCTCGATCGCCTCTGTAAAACCGGCTTTGGAGGCAGCTCTGCCTTCCAACCGTTCTTACCGAGCATGGGCACGGGCATGCACGCCGATCGCCTGCCTCCTCCGGCCGCCGCCCGCCGAGCCGAGCTTTGCCGAGGACCTGATGGGCGCCGTCCGCCAGGCCGACGCAGGACCGCGGTGCGTGCCGTGGTCGGGGGCGATAGGATGGGCTCATCGCGGGGGGGGGGGATCGAGTCGTAGGGGGCCACGTGCGAGCCCTACTCCCACCCCCCACGATTTCGCAGGGGGAGGGTGGGGTTCACTTCGCTCGGGAGCTCCCGAGCGAAGTGAACCCTGCCCTCCCCCTCCGAAATCGTGGGGGCTAGGGGGTAGCCAGGGGTTGTCGGGTGGGAGGCCCCAAGAACTGCGCTCTCGCAGGGTGGGGGTGCCGGGGCGTGGCGGGGGGCAGGGTGGAGGGTATCGGTAGGTTCCGGCGAAGAAATTCTCGTGTTGGGAGTCTCGAGAATTTCGCTCTCGCGGGGTGGAGGTGCCCAGGCGTAGTGGGGGGCATGGTGGAGGGTTTCGGCCAGACATTTTCGGGTTAGGGGTTCCGAGGACGAAGCTCTCGTGAGGTGAAGGTGCTTGGGCGTGGTGGAGGGCGTGGTTGAGAATGTCGGTAGGTTTCGGGCGCGAAGTTGTCGGGTGGGGGCCCCAAAAACGGAGTTCTCGTGAGGGCAGGTCTCGTGGCGCATCGCCCTGGCATATTGCGCGGCGCGCTGGCACGTCACCCAGCGCCTTCACTGGCGCGTTCAGTGGCGCGTCCCCTGGCGCGTCCACTGGCGCGCCACTGTGCGGCGCGGCGCAGCGCAGAGCAACGCGACGAAGCCCCTGGCACAGAGTCGCCACCCTTGGTATTTCCAGCATTGCCGCGGCCCACCGCCCAATTGAGGTGCTCGGAAACGCTCCCAGTCTTCGCAGTTCAAATTCTTGGAGCAGCTTACAGCTCACCTGATGCGCCGCTTAAGCAGCTTAGGCAGTTTAGGTGCGCGGCTTTAGGTTGCTCCTGTTGTCAATTAGTAGGCCCGCGCCCCGGACTTGCGACTCGCCGCTTGCACTCTCGCCCGCGGCCGCGACCAAACAAGTATCCCCACCAGCCCATCCAGAATTGATTGCCAGCTTTCTTGAGGCCTCTTTGGAGGCTATCTTGAGCCATGCTCGGCTAGAGGCTGTTGGAGGCTATCTTGAGCCATGCTCGGCTGTCTTGGGCCATCTTGAGGCTGTCTTGAGGCCTTCTTGGGGCCCTCTTGAGGATCTTTTGGGGGAGTCTTGGAGCCCTCTTGGGGCTCTTTGGGTGGTCTGGGAGGCCTCTTGGGGCCGTCTTGGGCACCATGGCTCAAAAAGAGGGGGGGGAGAAATTCGGCCCCCCCCTCGGAGGCTCTCAAACTGCATCTTGGGGCACTCTTGGAGCGCTCTTGGGCGCCTCTTGGGCGATCTTGGGGCCGTCTTCGGCCTTCTTGGGCCTCTCTTGGGCCTCTTTTGGGCCATCTTGGGGCCATCTTGAGGCTTCCAAAGCCCATCGGAAGCGAAAAGGCGATAATGCCAAAAACATTGATATTCCCTAGGCTTTTGAAAGGTTTTGGCATCTTGGAGGGCGCCGTGGAGGGCTCGAAGGGCACTTGGATCCGTCTTGGGGCTGTCTTGGGGCCTCTTGGGGGTATGTCGGAGGCTATCTTGACCGATCTTGAAGTAGCATGGGCCATCTTGGAGGCCATCTTGCGACTTCGAAGCCCTCTTGGAGCAATCTTGGGCCATCTTGGACGCTCTAACGCCTCGGTACCCCCCCCCTTCCTGGCCAAGGGGAGGGGGTAGGGGGAGGGTTTTCAGTGGAAGGGAACATAAAAAACGCGTTATACCACCTAAGCCCAGAGGGCTGGTGGGACTCCCTTTCCAGGGTCGTGGGTCGATCATGTTTGACGACGACGGCGACGACGATGACGGCCGCTTTGGCAACGACGGCGACGGCGACGACGACGATGAAGGCTTGGGCGATTCCGACGGCGACGATTTCAGCGACGACGGCGGTGGCGACAACGACGACGACGACGACGACGACGACGGCGTTGACGACAACGACGACGATGGCTTTCACGACGACGACAGCGGCTTTGACGACGACGGCTTCGACGACGACGAAGGCCGCTTGGACGACGACGACAGCTTTGTCGACGACGACGACGACGACGGCTTTCACGACGATGGCTTTGACGATCGCGGTCATGACGACGGCTTTGACGACGTCGACGTCGATGGTTCTGACGACGACGACTGCGCGGCGATGATTACGACGACGGCTTTCACGACCAACGCGTCGAGGATGACGACGGCTCTGACGACGACGGCGGCCCGACGACGACGACCGCTATGACGACGAAAACTTTGACGACGACAACGACGGCGACGACGACAGTGACGGCTTTGACGACGACGGCTGTTTTGACGACGACGACGGCAATCCTGGTGACAACGGCGGCGGCGACGACGACGACGGCTATGATGACGACGACGATGACGACGGCTTTGACGACGACCGTGACGTCGACGGCTCTGACGACGACGGCTTTCACGACGACGACGACACGACTACGATGACCGCTATGACGACGACGAAGGCTTGGACGAGGACGACGACAACGACGGCGGCGGCGACGACGACGACGTTGGCGGCAGCTTTGACGACGATGGTGACGACGGCGGCGACGGCGATGACGACGTCGACGCCTTTGACGACGACGACAATCCCGATGACGCCTGTGGCGGCGACGACGACGGCAACAACGGCTTCGACGACGACGCTGACGACGGCTTTGGCGACGACCGGGATGTCGACGGCTTTGACGACGACGGCTTTGACGGCGACGGCGATGACGATGACGACGACGACGGCGACGGCTTGGACGACGACGACGACGTCTTTGACGGTGGCGACGATGACGACGACGACGACGACGGCTGTGGCGACGAAAATGTTGACGGCGGCTCTGGCGACGAACGCAACGTCGACGGCTTTGACGATGGCGACGGCGATGACGATGATGACGACGACGACGGCTTGGATGACGACGACGACGACGACGACGACGACGGCTTTGACGACGGGGACAACGACGACGACGACGGCTTTCTGACGACGACGACGGGTTTGACGACGACGGCCGTCTGAAGATAACGACGACGACGACGACGTTGACGACGGCTTCGACGACGACGGATTTGAGGACGACGACGATGAGACAGCTTTGACGGTCGACGACGGCTTCTAACGCGACGACGGCGTTGGCGACGACTACGACGCCGGCTTTGACGACAACGACGACGGTTTTGACGACGACGTTGACGACGACGGCTCTGGCGACAACGACGACGACCGCTTCGACGACGACGACGCCTGCGTTGACGACGACGGCGACGACGAAGTCCGCTTTTACGACCACGACGACCCCGGCGACGACGGCTTTCACGACGATGCCGGCGACGATTTTGACGACGACGGCGTCGACGATGACGACTGCGTTGACGTCGACGACGATTCGGACGACTCGGACGACTCGGACGACTCGGACAACTTGGACGACGACGACGACAACGACGACGACGACGACGACGACGACGACGACGACGACGACGACGACGACGACGACGACGACGACGACGACGACGACGACGACGACGAGCGCGGCGGCCGCCGCAGATTTGTCGCCGGCGACGTCGAGACGGCTTCGCCGCACGCCGCCCGCGGGCGGTTCGCGGCCCCTCAGGAGGTGGCTCGGAGGCCGACCGGTCGCTGCTGCGGGACGTGTTAGGCACGGGGCGGGGATGGGCGGAGGCCGCGGCGGCGGCGTCGACGGTGGCGGCTGTTGCGGCACTGGCGGCGGCTGCGCTGGCGGCGCGGCGGCTGCGCCAGGCGTTGTCGTTTGGGGCTTGGCGGCTGCGCTGGCGGCGTTGGCGACGGCTGCGCTGGCGGCGCAGGGGGCGGTCGTCCAGGAGGCGAGGGGCATCTCGGAAAGGCTCGGCCGGCCTGGCGGGGTGTCCTGGAACGTCTGGAAACTTTTTGGAGTTTGTGTGACGTTTCAGAACCTTTCGGGAGGTGTTAGGAGGTGGGACGCGGGAGGCAGGGTGGAGGAGGGAGAGTCAGGATGCATGAGGACTAGTATGATGAGGGTGATGATGACGATGATGATGATGATGATGATGATGATGATGATGATGATGATGATGATGATGATGATGATGATGATGATGATGATGATGATGATGCTGATGATGATGATGATGATGATGATGATGATGATGATGATGATGATGATGAGATATACTTGGAAGAAGATGAGGAGAGGGAGGATGAGGAGGAGGAAAGGGAGGAAGAGCATGAACAGGAGGAGGAGGAGGCTCCTCCTCGTAAGCTGAGTATTTCTTGAAGGATGCCCAGTGGAAAGTTTCGGGTCCCTTGGGCTGCCGTGGTGGAAATCCAGCGCTCTTTGGAATTCGCATCGACGACCACATATTCGGAGTCAAGCGCGCAGATGGATAATATACAGTGAACTTCAGAGAGGATCACCTTCCATGTATGTAGCTGGTGCAAGCTTCGAGAACATGTTGGCGGCGCTGGAGGAGAGCACGATTTTGGAAATGAACCGCCCTCCGTGTAACAGCTCGACATCTGGACGTCTGCGCCCTCTGTCGCCAGCCCCCAATGCTGAGCCATCTTTTGGCTATGCTGGGAAAGTGTTGGGGTCTCTCGGACCATGTTGGGGCTGTCTTGGGAAATCCTCTGGAGCTTTTCACTTCCTCCTCCTCCTCCTTGCATTGGTCTTGAAATCCACTTGGCGCCCTCCTGGGGTCTTCTTGAGAGCTTCTTGGGGGCTTTTTCCTGGAAAGGTCTCCAGCCCAGGTTTTTTTTTTCGTGTGGCATTGTCCCCGGGTGCCATAATGGGGGTGGGCCAGCGCTTTGTATTTTGACATGGGTTCTGGTCGCTGGTGGGCCGAACCCACGTGTAGGGTTCCTTTCGCTTGCGAGCTCAAATCAGGTGTTTGTTTGCCCGTGCTTGTGACACGTGTTCCTTTTCGTCAGTGGGCTCGAGCTGTGCGTTTTTGCATGGGCTCCTTTTCGCCCGTGGGCCCAGACCATGTGTTTGCACACGGGCTCTTGTCACCCGTGGGCGCACGTCACATGGTTTTGCATGGGTTCCTTTCGCCTGTGAGCTCAAATCATGTGCTATTGCATGGGTTCCCTCCGCGCGCGCGCGTGTCCACCTCTGGGAAGCCCCAGGAGGTCCCAGGAGGCCCCAGGGGGCCCCAGGAAGGCCCAGGAGGTCCCCGGAGGTCCCCGGAGGTCCGAGGAGGCCCCAAGAGCCCCAACCGTTTTTTTTGCATCGGTTCCCTTCGCACGTGAGCGCCCAAGCCGTTTTTTTTGTTTTTGTTTTTTTTGTCTTTGTTTTTTTTCAGCAGTTCTTTTTGCCCGTGCGCCAACACCGTGTATTTTTACATGGGTTCCTTCTCGCCCGTGAGCTCAAACCATGTATTTATACACATGGGTTCCTCTCGCTCGTGGGCGCAAATCATGTGCTTCTGCATGGGTTCTTTCCGCCCGTGATCCCATATCCTGTGTTTTTTGCATGGCCCCTGTCAGTTTCGTGGCGCGTCCCCTGACGCGCTGGCCCGTCTCGTGGCGCGTCCCTTGCGACGTCCGCCCCCTGGCACGCCCCTCGGCGCGTCCCCTGGCTCGTCCTCTGTCGCGTTACCTGGCTTGCCCCCTGGCGCTTCTCCCGCCCGTTCAGTGGTGCGTCGCTTGCCAGGTTCCCTGGCTCGTCCAAAGCCACGTCCCCTTGGGCGTCCTTTGGGACGTGCCTAGGCATGACGTCCCCTGGCACACTCCACGGCACGCACCTTCGCACGTCCCGTGGCAGGTCCTGACACGTCCACGGCATGTCCCTTGGCACGTTCCCTGTCGCATCCTCCAGTGCGCCCTTGGCACGTCCCGTGGCGCGTGCATGCGCCCTGCGCCCCGTGTCGTCCCGTCCCGCTTCGGATCTTAGTCGGATCTTGAGCTCGAGCTGAGTAAGCGTTCCACACGTATCGATTGCAACCAGCTCTCGGCCAGCTATGCTTATGCGCTCAGGCAGCTCGAGCTTAAGACCCAGATCAGTTCGGTCAGGATTCGGATGCTCAGGACGGCTTGATTCACAAAGCTATGGAGCACAAAGCAATTCACCGTGGCATGACACACCTCAATTCAGAACGGCAGAGTACAGCACAACCCTTGGCACGGTACATTACGATCGGTACTTTTAGTATCGCAATGCCCGTCTCCCAATCAGGTGTTTTGAGCACGTTGCCACGTCTCGCATTTCTAAGTTCTTTTCCTGATTCGTGGGTTGATCATGTTTGGGCCTCTTTGGGGATTTTGGGGGTTCTTGGGGACCTTTGGGCTGGTGCCCTCTTGGGCCGTTCTTGGGGCCCTCTTGGACCGTCTTGGGGTTTCTTAGCTGTTTTACGGGTCTTTTGGGGCATTCTTGAGGCCCTCTTGGGCCGTCTTGGGGCTGCCTTGGGGTCCCATTCCGCTATCTTGGGGCCATCTGGGGGCTCTCTCAGGGTTGACAGATTCCGACCAGCTACACCAGAACCCCCCCCAAAGGAAAAGTATTTCAATTGCATGAGAAAACGTACCACGCAGAAGTGCCAGTACGAGAAATGTGCCGTGCAGAGGTACGAAGTGCAGAAGTTCAGACATCCAAAGTGTGGTGAACGTGTGTGAAAGAAAGAGAGAGAGAGAGAGAGAGTTATATACGTTTGTCATACTTGTTTCGCACTTCGTATTTTTTCATAACCTTATCTTTTTCTGTATCTTCGATGTGCGTTCGTACTTTCCTCGTACATTATCTCACTTTTTTGAACTTCGGATGTGCCTTCGTACTTGTTTCGTATTTGTTTCATGCCCGTACTTCCGCGTTACACATGTTTAACACCTGCGTTTCGCGGGCCTCGCCTGCCTCGTTCTTTCGATCCGTACTCATTGTACACTCGTGCTATCGTGCCATACGCGTACTTGTACTGTTTCCTTACTTTGCCAACATCGAGGATTTCCTGGTCTAGCCAGCCTGAGGCTGGCTGGTAAGAGGCCCCTAAGAATACGAGAAACGAAGCGTTTCTCATAACCTTAGGAGTCTCTTGTGCCGTCTTGGAGCAGTCTTGGAGGCATCTTGGGCCGTCTGGGACTGCGGGCGGCCCGGGAAGGCGAGAATGCGGGAATCCTTCAATCGCCCGAGCCACATCAATCATTTTGGCATCCGGAGGCTTCCTATTCGAATCCTCTTGGGCCCTCTTGGGGCGTCTTTGGGGCCTCTTTGGCCTTCTTGAGGCCATCTTGGTGCGTTTTGGGCACATCTTCGGCCGTCTTGGGCTCACGAGGACCCCTTTTGGAGACTCCTGTGACCGTCTTCGAGGCCTGTGGGGCCCTCTGGGTCGCGCCGTGGCGTCTCCATGGGAACCCTGGGGCTTCAAGAGCGGGCAGGGATGTGAGCCCACCCCCTAGGTTTTGCTGGCGCCGCCGCCCACCACCAGAAGATAGTCACATGGATGCGCAAGAGCCAACAATCTAAAGGCACCACAAAGAGCACAAGACAGCAGTTCAGCAGGATCCTTCGCAGCCGTGCACCCCCGAAGGGGCGGACGGATTGCCAATTGACAGCTCCAGTCAACCATGAGGGAGCAGGAGCATCAGGCGAGAGCCATACTTGGAAAAGGGACCCCCCATGTGTCTAGCCCTTGGATATTGCAGCCTTAAGGAACGTGGACCACGAGTAAGTCGCAGGCGAAATCCAGATGTTTAATTCGACCCGCCCTCCAGCCGTGTATCGATTCGAGCATTCTCAAACAGGCGTGCGCGGCGTGGAATCGGGAGTCAGGTTTCGGCAGCGGCCCGTCCCTCGTCCGTGGCACTGTTGGGAGCGAGGTGCATGAGGACCAACAGGAGGAGGAGGAGGATGAGGAGGAGGAGGGGGAGGGGGAGGGGGAGGGGGAGGGGAAGGAGCAGGAGGAGGAAGACGAGGAGGAGGAGGAGTATGAGGAGGAGAAGGTGGAATAATAAGAATAAGCATACATAAAGTAATGATAACAGTTTAAAATACTAATAATAAGAAGACTAGTAAGACGAATGTTAGTAATAAACACTTTCATATTATTACGAATAAGAAGAATAATCACACTACTAAGAATATTAGTAAATAGCCTGATACCAATAAGAGGAATACTAGTAATAATGATACCACGAAGAAGACACATAGCAATACTAAGAGGACGAGTACTAATGATACTAAGCATAATCATATTAATAATGAGAATTATACGAATACGAATATTAATACAACGACGAACAATACGACTAAGACGAGTAACATAAAGACGAGGGGGAGGAGGAGGAGGCGGAGGCGGAGGCGGATGAGGATGATTAGCAGGAGCGGGAGGAGGGGGAGGAGCAGGAGGAGGAGGAGATGGAGGAGGAGGAAGAGGAGGATGTGGAGGAGGAGGAGGCGGCGGAGGAGGAGGAGGAAGAGGAAGGGGAGGAGGAGGACGAGGAGGATGATGGAGAAGGAGGAGGAGGATAATGGATGATGATGATGCTGATGATGATGATGATGATGCTGATGCTGATGATGATGATGATGATGAGGATGATGATGATGTTGATGATGATGCTATGCTGATGCTGATGCTGATGCTGATGCTGATGCTGATGCTGATGAGGATGAGGATGAGGATGAGGATGAGGATGAGGATGAGGATAGAGATGAGGATGAGGCGGAGG